GTTTGTTCGTTTGTTTGTTTGTTTGTTTCGCCTTCATTTTTGTACATTGACATAAGTTGACACAAACGAGAAGAAAACATTGGATTGAAAAGTGTAACAGCCATTCATTTCTTTAGCAACGCTCCGGAATATTCAACTTTTTTCTTGACGAATTTATTTCCAGTAAACAACGCCCTCTTGCTTCTAAAAGTTTCAAAACTCAATTAAAGACAGATACCCAAAATGTTTGATTGATAGATGCACACCTGAGTAAATTTTTCTCTGAAAGTCAGGAAATTCAGCAAAAAGTTTGTTAGGTGATAGAAGCGGCCATCTTGAATCAAGCTTAAAATTCCAAATATAGTATCAAAACTCCTAATTTGCATATCTGATTATTCTGGAGCATAGTTATAATGTTACGCCTGTCAACCCCGTTATGAATAAGCCTGAAGCGAGATGACGTTTTACCCCCGACTCTATACCATAATAGTTTTTTAAATTCTTTCATATTAAAATTTTTGATTCCTTAGAGAATACAGGAACAATAGTCATAATTAAAGAACAAAAGCAATGTGAAAAGGATTATGGTCTAGAGACGGGGGTAAAACGTCATCTCGCTTCAGGCTTATTTCTGAAAAAAATTCATCTGTTATAACTGAAATACCGAGGGAGAGATAACTTTTGATTTCTATTCTGTCTGTCGTTGAGGGAAAGCGATATCTTCAAATCAAACACAAATGAATAGAAAATAATTTAAAATAAGAATTACCATCGTAATCCCCATTTACTAAGCTTTGAGAAAATATATAGTCTGTCTGGGATATGATTAATTAAGATTGTACACGCTGGAATAAAGAAAACAACGTCATATGACACTACGCCAAGCGGCCATCGTATTATTAAACTAGTCTAAAAGAAAATTCTAAATCCCAAAATTGATGGGTTGCAAGCATTCCCAAGARAGTCAAAAGACAAAAGAATGGCGGCCATTGTGGTGCCGTTAACAATGGATGCTAATAAGAAATCTTTTGTTAAATGGCACCAACGCTCCCCCGAGAGGCCGCGATGACGTAACGTGCAATCGAAGGATACGTATATGTATAAAACTAAATTTAACATAAATCTACGTCATTATCATTCATTGGAGTCAATTTTAGTTTCTCACAAATAGCGATTTATTTCACAAAATTTAATACAATTTTAAAAAATTCTAAGGTTCAAGAATATATTCAGTKTTGCATAACGAGTATCGAAATGTCAGTTTGCGTGCTCGGGGAATTACTTAATTATTTATCTGTTTTTAAAGAAGTTGAATTAGCAGGGACCCTTTATGGATGAACAGCTTTTATTGTCATTTGTTGCTATATATTACTTCGTTTCTTAAAGCTACATTCAGTTACGTTCTTTTAATGACATGACGATGGGCACTTCATTGTACGTACTGGTTGTATACATTACACTTGTGACTATCAACTTCAAGGTAAAAATATTCCTATTACAAATAAGTTTTAACTGTTCCATGTGAATTTGAAATTAATAATTTCTCCTTAAAAAAAGACACTTGTCTTTTTCGATTCCGGAATTCTCTTAATTCTTTTCAACATAAATAACATTAACTGCATTAACATTGACCTATAAGCTCTCCCCTCATCAAACAAGACCCTTGGCGGGCAGGATACACTTGGATTCATGTGTGGAACAGGTACCAGAGTCTCTAGAATCTAAAGGCGAAGTGAAAATAAGTTGCTAAGTTTCGAAAGACAACGATGGAGCTACAAATGTGCAGCGAAAGCCATTTTGGGTAAAATGTTTATACGCCATACGACAAATGCATAAATAAATCAATCCATTTTGACTTCCAAATTCCAATTTCCTCTAATTCCAGTAAGGATTTAACATAGATAGTTATCTAACCTGCCGTCTCTCGGCTCATAACTCAGCGAGAAACGATAATTCGTAGAGTATGGCTCGCTAAATCTTTATTTAATACAGTAAGAATTAAATATAAAATAGTTTTCCGTTTTAGATACGCGAGGGATGCTGGGAAAACATAAACAACAACGACTTTATTGTAGCACTCTCTTATAGGATTTACAGCATTTGTTTTCAAATATACAATATAGATAATTTAATAAATCTAAATAGTATAAAAACACAGTTATTTATAGTATATATACTAAGGCAGATAAATGAAAAGAAGGTACAGGTTGTTTGTCATAACCACAAGGCACTATAAGTAAAAACAGACAGCCAAACGAATGGAGGAAACCACGACACGTAGAGAAGTGCTTTTCAGCTTCTCAACTATTTTACGTTAAACTATTTTATATCTCCGCTTAAAAAGAGCAAATCAACAAAAAATAAGAATGTTCTATTTTTCCCTGTGAAAGTTCAAATTCAAAGAGCGCGCGCGGAAAATTTGACATAAGCGGTTTTAGATACGCTCATCTAAAATGGTATTTGGACCAATCAGAGCGAAGGAATAACACATTTGTTAATTTTTAAAAAGGTACATTTTGCTCAAGGATTCCTCTATAAGGAATATGATAAAATTTATGATGTTGCATTATAATATATATTATAACACTGATCACATTTAGTATGTTGTGATCTTAAGTGTGTTCATCGCAATTTGTCAGAATTCAATGGCCATTTTCTTACCAAGCAAATTATATTAGATCAAGAAGCTTCAAACGGTATAGATCAAGATGATCTCATTTATGAATATGCTTAGTAAATTATTTATTATGCTTCTTTAAGTCAAATGGAATCCTGAAATAAAGATTGCTATGTACATCGTTCCTTTGTAGCAGACTTTAATTGTAGCAAAATGACTTTGGTTTATCCGTAAATATTTAGTTTCATCATATATGTCCACTAAAATATGCTCTATTTATACTTCAAAGACTCATGGATAGTTCAAAAACCTATAATCTATTTGCCCAAGAGACTATAAATGACATCTGTCCTTCATGGGCTCTTGATTTGGAGGAATAATTTGATTTTGTCAGCCTCTTCCTGTCATGTTTTGCCTTTCAGAACGTTTGGGGCCAAGCAGGATGTAACCTGTTGACATCCGAAGAAAAAGATGCTTGCTTTGTTAAAGGGTAAATGAATTTTGGCTCAACCCTTCCACGTTATTTTTTTGCGTACAGTTAGATATTTTTCTTCAGCAGAAGAGGTTGCACGATATTTTTTTGAATCAATACTAAAAGCATTGTCTCAGGCATTAGGGACACTTTAAAAGCAGTGGTGGTTCAGCAAAGTGATGGGCTGGGAGTTTTACCCAAAAATGAATTATGCCATTGCCCTCGTTCTTCGCCACAGGCCAGATACAGACTATGTGTTCAGTGGGGAATCGTGGTGTACATAACATTTCAAGGTCATACTATTTCAAATTTTGCCCCTCTTTATCAATAGCGTGACTCATTCCGATGACAGCAGCGATGTGTCATGGATGGAGAAGTGCGTGGTGAAGTATTTTTGCCTCCAACCACAACCAGGACAAAAACCTAAAGATTTCGAGAAACCCCAGTTTGAGAACGAATTGAAAACCTTTCGTCCCGGAGACTATTTTGAGGTGAGTTTGCAGCCGATATATGATTTTATTTCTTAGTTTATTTTCACTTGAGAAACAGCTGTTGTAGAATCCACCGCCTATTTTTTCCCTACAGAACTCATGAAGTTTTCGGCCTATCTTTTCCCATTTCGAGCCTATTGAGAATAAGATCAGAAAGAAAAAAAATGAGGAAAAACGAACAAAACCCACGAATGATAAGACAGTCAATAGTCCACAATAACTGGAGGGCATGCACGCAGTGCATCAGGCAAACGCTGATTTTTGACATCCGTCCTTTCGCCCCTTCTTTCAGTGAACAACTGTTGCTTTTTGTTGTTGTTGTTGTTGTTGTTGTTGTTGTTGTTGTTGTTGTTTTGTTTTCCTCGATTTTCGTTAAAAAAGCATACCATATAATTTAGTTACTATAAAATTTAGCTCGCGCTACAGAAATACACGCCATTATTGGCGCAATGGAAGACATAAAGAAAATGTATGCATACAACTAAGAACAACATTGGATATCTCAACACTGGACTAACCTTCGTGTTATTGTATTGCAAGAGCTCTTTTAACCTTTAAAAAGGTTAGAGGACAAAAAATACCGATATGTAAACTTACCAGTTAACATATTTTAGTACGCAGCGAAAAGGATCGAGAAGTTCTTCCTCGGTAACCCAGATTGGAAAACAACTAAATCAAACCAGAATTACAGAGGTAATGGGTGCGTCAAGCTTCTTGCCATCACTGAWGCCCGTTACCTCTACGTTACATATGTACTATTCATCCAAAGCGGTAAAAGACTAACTGCATGTCAGCAGGACAGCAATAAAAAGTACATCTTGCCAGCAGGCGTGTGCTTCCCTCGACCTTATGGCAGCGGTACTTGTACCTCGGACTACGATGTGGGCCTGATTGGACATACGTCAGGAATACTGACAATTGAATTCAACGCTTACTTCAGTAAAACCTTCAAAAAGCCATCGGAAGAACTTTTTGACACCAACGTTTACGCGTATACCCTTGAATACGCAATGCCTGAGATGTTTACTGGTATGACTGGATTCTTTAAGAACATCGTCCCTTATTTGGGTCTCAAGCCTTGGTATCAAATGCAGGAATTGGCCAGCGCCTATTTTAAGGTCAGTTTGTTTGTCGACAAATCTGATTCGCAAGTTTTCAAATCAAGCGAAGTTGAGAGAAATTGTAAAACTACCCTGTTCCAGGATAGAGTACACGCAATATATCCTGAAAGTAAATAGCCCTGTACGCGTCTTTGTCATAGGAATTTTACTACTTGACGCGAGACAAAATAGTAAGCAAAAAACATAGTTAAAGTAGACACTTAAAATTCTATTGTTTTCTTTTGTTTTACTTGGACTGTTAGTCACTTATAATCAGTGACGGATCCAGGATTTTTCAAAGGGGGGTTCCGTTTCTTAAACTGTGTATAATTCTCTTTTGTTTAGTCGATGTCTAACAAAAACATTGGCTCTAATCACCTAATTTACTATCTAGTAACGGAACTTAAAGGTAAATTAAACATTATAACAGTAAATATTTATCATTTCGTGTTCAACATTATCTTTGTGGATACTTTTAAGCAAAATTTATATAAGACATATTTCTATTACCTAAAAGATCAAACCTTCAAGGGGGGTTCCGTGGAACCCTTCGAACCCCCCTGGATCCGCCACTGATAATGCATTTTCGTTTCACGAGCGAAGTAAAACAAGGATGGGAAGAGGTACTTGCTTTCGTTACCCTGAATGTTGTACTCAAGTATTATCAAATATTTTTGTAAAAAAAAAAAAAATAGCGGTGAAATGGCTGTAATCTGGGTTTGTTTCACGGATATATGGCGTGCACTGTAAGGCACGGACATCTTTATACATTCAAAAGGTTCTGACACACGGTGCAACATTGCATGCAACATTGCACGCAGCACGAATGTTGCAGTGTGTGTCTACCTCAAACCTGTTGCACGCAACGTTGCATGCAACAAAACTGAAGTTGAATCGCGCTCTACTCTTGCAACATTGCGCGCAAAAAATTTCATCATGTTAACATGGCTGCAACATTGAATGCAACGTTTTGAAATTTCCAGCCAATCAGCTTGCTCAAAATTTATAACTGATGACCAAATATCTTAATATAGCAGGCTGACACAAGCGATGTTGCGTGGTTTTGTTGCAGTATGTGTCACCCCGATTCAAATTTGTTGCTTGCAATGTTGCACCGTGTGTCAGCACCTAAAGTGGTCATTCAACGTGGTCAAGGAGAAAACAAACTATCTTATTGATCAGTTTTATGTCATAAAAATATTTCATTGCAAAATCCGATGCTCCCTCAAAAACCTTGTTTTTTTTTACTTACTAAAACGAATATCATTATCGATGGCTTTTCATTTCATTACAGATGTATAAATTTAAAAAGGCGTTCTACGAAGAATTCAAAGTCTATGCCCTAGCTAATCTTGGTGGGCTTGGACCTATCAAGTCAGTACCAGACCGTAGTTTGTATTTCAGACGATCAATCCAAAACCTTGAAAACTGGGACAGAACTAAAAAGGCAGTCAATAATATTAATGACCTGAGGAATGAACACAATAAAATCTACGAACAGAAAATGATAGAAGCCCAAAAACACTTTGACACGAGAAAGAACTATCAAGAGATAGTTAGATACATGTCGGAGGTAAGATTACTGATAAAGTCCCCTTAAGGGTTCCTCCGTGCCATATTCAATTGCAATAAACTATACATTGTCACGTTACGAGGGATGTTTTTTTTTTTTTTCTTCTTTGTGATTGATCCCAAATTTGTACACAAAGTTTTGATTCATTATCCCAAAATCTCACGTATTTATAGATCCTTTTCGAGTTCCAAATTACCGCTGTGTTCCTTGATTACAGACTCATTTGCACAGGGTTAGCCTCTCATCAGTGTTTAAATATTCACAAAACTCCAACAATACAAACACGTTGAAATTCGACGACCTTGACTGAGACACGTGAATATTCTGCACAAAATCGAGCCTGAGTAAATGAGTCTGTAATCAAGAAACACAGCGGTATTTTGCCAACTCAAAAAAGGGTCTATTTTGATCACTGTTCTCATAAATAATCCCTTGATCCCTGAACTTATTCATACGATCCCGATCACGATTTTCTCGTACTCTTATTGGGCGAGAGACGGGTATCACGTGGACGTGAGTTTCGATGTTTCCCGGCTCTCAGCAGGTAACAATGTCATGTTGTTCACCGTTAACTTCTAGAGGAGTAGATTGAGTCAAACTATGAATTGATACAAGCTACAACGATATATAGAAAATATAATAGCATTAGTAGCATGCACCACCTGTGCTTCACAATATGTTGAAGTCCCTTTGGTCTTTATTTGATTTCTAGATGTCTTTAGCCCTAGTGTATGCAGCCGAGGCCTATCACACCAGAGGTGCCATACGCCACGTGGTTGGTGATCTTCAAATGCGTTTACCGATTGTCAAGGCAACCACTATAGTACAGGATTACTGGGTGTCTATGATCGAGAACTGGGCTGACTGCAACAAGGAATATGAACACTGCACTGGGCTCAATGTAGAAGCCTGTCTCCTCAAAATGAGCAAATATCTGCGCCGTACGTTCCATGCAATGAAAAGCATCTACAATATTTTATCACGGATCCCTAATCCTGGGAACGCTCTGAAAGCCACTAACCTTCTTCCACCCATGTATCCCTTTCAACCTGACCCTGAGCAAATAGCCCTAAAATGGGTTTTAATATTTCGAGGTAAAAGAGAAGAAATTCCAGAATTTAACACAAATGTCAAGCCCTTCTTGGATACCGTTGGCTGTAGTGGTCAAAGAGAAAAAGCACCTTTGGATTTTGACTGCATGAAGAGCATCCAATCTAAAGTGATGTCATACAACAACATCCTGGTGTCTGCTACAGCTAAAGATTCTGCAGCTATTCAAGCTATCTTTATTTTGATGACCAATGGACAACAAAAAACCGCTCCTCCTTAGACCTGACAATTTACAAAAGTACACAACACAACTAATTTTAATACAGTCAACTCTCGTTATAGCTGACACCCTCGAGACCGTCGCTTGGTGTCCGTAATAACGAGCATCTGCAATAGCGAGAGTTATTTTTTTGTCAGTATTTTTTGCTGGGGATGTTGCTTCTGTCCGCAATAGCTGTGTGTCCGCAATAGCGAGGTGTCCGCAATAGCGAGGTGTCCGCAATAGCG